GCCTCAGGGTGCAGTAGCAATGTTCGTAAGGAGGGAGGAAATTCTGAAGAATCTTGCTTTCAGTTACCTCACAGGGAGAGAGGAAGTCAAGGAGAGAGGTGGGTGTGACCAAAAACCTACAAACCTAAGCCATTTCCAAGGGAGTTCGTCTACCACATACCAGCTTGCCCCTCTCTTTCACTTTGGGCCAGTCATGGAGAGAAGTCATTGTCCCCAGGAGGCTATTAGGTCTCAGAAAGATGGAACCAAATTGGAACCATCCGCCATGTTCTCCCAAAACAAATGAAATGAGAAAGCAGGGAAACAGGAACCATCATCCTGACAAGACGTTGGTGACAGTCATTTGAGATTGCTCGCTCAGCCCACACCCGTTTCCTCCAACTCAGCGGGTGGCTCACTCTTCTGTTGGCAGACTTCCATGGAGGGTTTTCATCAGCTGCATCTGTGTCCTCGAACTTCATCTTTGGGACCAGGGCTGGTGGCAGCTGTGCTGGCAGCGTTCATCAGACCCTCACTGCGAGCTCTGTAGACGCCCCCAGTAGCTGACTGCAGCATCCCGGTGGGGAGTGCCACAGCCCTGGGTGCTGAGATTCTGTTCTGTGAAGACACTGGTGGAGCCTGGGCATGAGAAGATGGCCCAGGACCGACAGTGCGTTGTTCTGTTGAACACAGCACTGCTGAGTCGGAACTGACTTGTGGGCACCCAATAGCAACAGTGTTCCCCAGTGCCTGTGCCCCAAAGTGTATTGATCCGTTCTTTCAGCGAGGAGCATTGACGTGGTTTCCATCATGGTGCTTGTCGGTCACGGTCAGGAAGAACTCCAGGGAGGGTGAGTTCACGTGGGAACTCAAAGTGGGTTTCGAGTTTTCAATGTAAACCGAAGTGGTTTTCTGCAGGGGACCAGATCTTAAGCTCTAACTCAGTGAAAACCATGAAATAGGTTTACTCTGAAGAACTGCTGATATTGTAGCAATGGTGATTCTTAATGCAAAGAGGACAAAAAACATAAACCAAAGACAACTGAAACCCCCTGCCGTCATGTCAACTTCAGCTCACAGCAACCCCAGCTAGGTCTTCTGAGACGCTATACTTTTAAATCTAACTGATTCCTTAATTAATTTATTTTTGAAACTTTACATTTTTAGTCTCATTCATCTTTCTCCCAAGGAGCTGGCTGATGGGTTTGAGTCAACCAACCTTGTGGCCAGCAGCCCAGATGATTACCAAACAGAATCGATACATCATAAAACAACTATCACGGCAGCAAAGACCACGAAAAACCCAAGCAATATTCCAGGTAATAAAGCAAAACAAATGAAAAACACAACAACAAACACACTAGGAATTTTGTTCTGAGCCATTGGCCTACATATCGATGTAAAAGTTTCATAGTGCTTAGGCCTTCTAAGCCAAGCCCCCTCCCCTACCACACGGCCCTTACAAATTCTTTGCATTCCTTATTCTTGCCAATTTTTAATGTAAGAGACTTATAAAATATCCCTGTTCACAATTTTTAAAAGATTGAATTAATTACCAAGGAGGGAAATGCACATAGGTATCTTACCTTCAGCTCTGAGTGTATGCATGCACATTGTGTGTGTCTGTCTGTGTGTGTCCAAGTATGCCCATGTGCATGTGTGTCCATGTGTATGTGTTCGTGCATATCTATGTATGTGTGTGTCCATGCCTGTCCATATGTATGTGTCTGTGTGTGTCCATGTGTCCATGTGTATGTGTCCATGTGTGTATATGTGTGTATGCATCCATGTGTGTCCATATGTGTCCGTGTATGTCCATGTGAGTCTGCCTGTGTTCATGTGTGTCTATGTATGTGTATGTCCGTGTGTGTCTGTGCGTGTCCGTGTGTGTCAGTGTGTGTGTCCATGTGTATCTCTGTGTATGTCCATGTGTTTCCGTGTGTGTATGTGTGTGTTCATGTCTGTATGTGTGTATCTGTGTTTCCATGTCTGTGTGTGTTTAATTACCTCCCCCCACCCCTTTAGCCAGAACTTCCCTCAGCTTTATGCTTATTAGCATCTGTGGACTGGGACCCATGTCAAATATTTGAGATTTCCCAATTCATAGACTTTGGCTTCCTGTTTTGCCATCCACTCTGGCAGGGCAAGAACAATTTGCAATGAGAGAGAGAGAGACAATGAGGATGAAATAAATTTCATTTTACTCCTATAAGATACTTTGCGCTTGTGTGCACTCACACACACACCTGTCTGGATCCTTTTATGTGTTTTGCGTTCTGTAACCATCCATTTTCCTACACGTCTTATGAAATGTATCTATGCCCAGAGTGGAAGGAAGGAATTTTTCAAAGTTCATCTGTATAATGTGGGTGCTTCTCCAAGGACTGCTGATGGATTGCTTAGCGTTGTTGGGTAAACGTTTGGCATTACCGAGTTCTGACCATTTATTTTAAATTAGTCAAATCTGTAAATTAGCCATTGTATTAAAAATACTCAAAGATTTCCCATAAACGCAACGGCTCTGTTTGGCTCCTTATTGCTTCCACTCTTGTATGGCTTTCCTCTGATGTCCGTCCTATCGGAGAGATCACGCCACCTAGGAGTTCTGCTAATGCATTTTAAAATCATCTGATGGGCTCAGTTCCACTTTTTTTGTTTGATCGTGTCTGCGCTGATCCCTGGAGTTCAGTTGAAAGGGCAAGTGTACAGACACAGGATTTGTTATATCCCAGTGAAAGCAATAAGCACCCAGAGAACGCCCTTCCCTGCAGAACAGTCCACGTAGGAGAACAAGACAGCAAACAAAACACAGTGGTCATATGCAGATCGCCCTGCCCACATCCTTTGGGAGCCTGAGTAAGAGTCTCTGGACGGGGGCGCCTCTGTAAGGGGCACATGAAGACGCTGGAGCAATAAAGAAGTTCTAAATGTCGCCTGAGACAGAAAGAGCTGCAGCTTAGCAGAGTTGTCAGACCTCATTTTCTGGACAGTAAGTGAAGCTCTTTTGGTGTGTGTGTGTGTGTGTGTGTGTGTGTGTGTGTGTGTGTCCAAATGTCTGTGTGGGTGCTTCTAAATCAGTGGGTTTTTTGGTGTTGTTTTTAAATGTTTCCAGTTACTGGGTGCTCTCTTTAAAGAACTAGTAACTAGAATTTCTACCTCCCCACACACCCACCCCACCCCAAGCCTCTGAGCAATGCTGTATTTTGTAGCTTCAACAAGGAAATGCAAGGACATTGTAGAATGGGTTTAAAGTGAGGGGGAATGATCTGAAAGATTTCGACAGGCAAATCTGAGAGACTGAAAATAACACTTCTGTTTAATTATTCATGAGAAATATTGTGGGCAAAACTACTTTCTTATGTGATTGCTTTTCTTTTAAAAAAAAGGACATAGTTTATTTCCTAAGTAGTTGGAAAATCCTGAATATAAATGATTGCTTTTGTTCTTATTGTTTCTGAGCCTCAAGTTTCAATTGGTTGGGGTCGGACTGTTATTCTATTGACTAACTCGTTGGATAAAAGTTGTTTGAAGGCCAGCAGCAGAGAAAATACTTCAGTGCAGTTATGGCCAATGGGCATAATTCATCCTTCAGAGGGAGTTAGACAACCAGCATCTTGATGTTAATTTGGTTAGCTCTAGGAATTCTATCTCAGTTCAAAGATGAGAAATTACTATTCATCAGATGGAATTGGATTCCACTATCTTATTCATAGACTTCTATTATAAAAGATAAAAAATGTAAAATCTCTTGCAAGCTCTGAACTCGAACTTAATTTTTTTCATGATGGAACTCTATGTTGTAATAAAATTGTTTTGACCATCATTATACTTCCCCACCATCGTGCCCTCACACATCAAGCTGAAAGTTCCTGTATCTGAGGTGAAATGTAATGGTGTTGTCGTTAGGTACTATTGAGTCAGGTTGAGCCATATGAACCCTATGTGCAACAAAACGAACCACTCCCTGGTCCTGTAAAATTCTAACCATCATTGCTATGTTTGAGGCGATTTCTGTGTGCAGCTTGTTAAAAGCCCACCTCTTGTCCATCTGTTCTGACCCTCTCCTTCCCTCAAGCAGGCTGTTCATTTCCAGGGAACGCTCCTCCTGATAACATGTCCAATGTATGGGAGAAGTCTCACCATGCTTGCTTCTAATGGACAATCTGGATGTACTTCTTCCAAATGTATTTGTTCATTCTCCTGGCAATCCAGGGTCTATTCAATGTTCTTTTCTAACACCATGTTTGAAAGGTTTCATGAGTCATTGTCTGCCTCTTGCAAGTGCATGATGATTAAAAATACCCTGGCTTGAATCAGGTGCACCTTAGTCTTCAAAGCAATCTCTTTAAAGAGATTTGCCCAACACTAAACATTATTTGATTTCGTGGTGGCTGTTTCCATGGATCTAAACCAAACTCCAAAACTCACTGCCATTGAGTTGATGCCAACTCATAGACAGAGTAGGATTGTCCCTGGGAGCTTCCGAGACTGTAACTATTTATGGACAGAGAAAGCCCAGTCTTGCTTCCGAGCAGTGGCTGGTGGTTTCCAACTGCAGAGCTGCCAGATCACACCCAGAGTGTAACCATCTTGCCACCATGGCTCCTCACTGGGGATCTAAGTGTAACAAAATCCTGGTTACCTTTCAACGTTGCTCTTTTCACGCTGTTGTGTGGCGTTCGGGTGGTGAGGACTTGTGCTCACTGCTTGTTGAGGTGCGAACGCGTTGAAGACTGTAGTCTTTGCCTTTCGGCAGGAAATGCTTCAAGTAAGGTCTCTTTGCTTTCTTTCATCAAGCACGTTTTGTGTCATCTGCATTTCACAGGTTGCTAGTGACCAGTAGACCCTAGTGCCCCCACTTTTTGTTCTTTCATATAATCGAGTTTCTTGGATTACTTCATCATACAGATTGAATAAGTATGGTGAAAGGATACACTCTTAAAATCAGACCTGAGATAGTTAAGGTTTATTGTGCCAACCTGGCCGATAAACACAAGTGGGATTAATTGAAGGGCGGCGAGATAAATGGCTCGGTGAGCCTCGCCTTTCTAGTTCTCGGGTCTCTTGCTTTCTGAAGGTTGGACCAGGGTGCAGCTGCCTGAGCCAGTTCCCTGCTTCAGCTGGCAAGGGTCACTTCCTGCTGGACATCCCTGAGGAGAAGCCACATGGACCTACCCCAATGCAGCCCTGGGTGCTGGAGCAGCTGTGTGGAGACCCCTGCCAGCGCTGAGATGTTTACACGTTCACTGACTTGGGTTTCCTCCTGCACTTGGCGTCATTGCATGTGTTTTGTGAGATGGGGGAGGACTTTTTGGATTGGTGTTGGATATATAGGTTAATTGGTTAATGGTAGACATGGAGGCTTGGACAGCGCTGGGTTGGGGTGCTTTCTTAATGTGCACTTACCCGTCATATAAAACTCTCTCTTATACATATGAGTTTCTGTGGATTTGTTTCCCCAGTCTACCCAGACTAACCAAGACTTGTATCCTCTTGTTCTGTCTTTGGAACAACCCACTTTCGGTCTATGTACAGGCCTCACATGAGCACAATTAAAGGTTCTGGAATTCCTTTTAAAAAGATGGTATCTACAATTTGCTATGATCCATACAGTCAAATGCTCTTGCATATCAGTGGCACACTAGTTAACATCTTTCTGGTGTTCTCGACTGGAAGGAGAGGTCCATTGGACCTCAACGATAGCTCTTATTTCACGTCATCCCCTGAATCTGGTTGGAATTTCTGGTAGTTTGATGTCAATGCACAGCACCAACTGTTTTTGAATCATCTTCGGCATAATTTTACTCGTATGTAACACTAATTGTATTATTTGATAATTTTCTCATTCTGCTGATCACCCTTTTGTGATTGATCTCTTTTAGGCAGCGGGCCAGGTAGCTATCTTTCAACTATCTTGGCGTGGGCAAGCGAGCCCTTCCAGAGTTGCTTTGCTGTGTTGATATTTCTATTGGTATTCCATTAGTTCCTCGTTTCTCCCAATGACTCCAGTGCAGCTTAAACTTCTTCCTTCTGAGATGGTTGAATGTCAACAACTTTTTGTAAAGTGCCTTCGTTTCATTTTCTTTGGATACTTCCTGAGTCATTCAACCGTGTGCCTATTATTGCAAGGTGTCGAGTTGGTTCTGACTCATAGCAACCCTAAGCATACCAAACTAACCCCACCCAGCCTTGTGCCAACTTCAGAATTGTCCTTGTGCTTGAGCTCATGTTAGAGACAATGTGTCAGTCCATCTCCTTAATAGTCTTCCTCTTTTTTTTTTTTGCTGACCTATTTTCCCAAACATGATGTTCTTCTCTAGCTAGACACAGGTCCCTCGTGATAAAATGGCCAAAGCATGTGAGGTAAAGTCTCACCATTCTTGCCTCGAAGGAGTATTCTGTCTTGACTTCTTCCAAGGCCGATTTTTTCATTCTTCTGAGAGTCCATGATACATTTCATATTCTTCTACAACACCATAGCTTAAAGACATGAATTCTCAAGGCTTCTTTATTTAGTTTTCATAGGCATAAGAAACCACTGACAAGACCTTGGCTTGGGTCAAGTGCACTTTAGGCCACAGTGATATTTTACTTTTTAACTCTTAAAAGAGTACATTTGTTGTAGACTTGACAAATGCGAAGTGGTTTTTTGCTTTCTTGAGGGCTGCTATCCTGAGCTTTGATTATGGATCCAGGTAAAATCAATCCTTGAAAACTTTAATCTTTTCTCTGCTTATTGTGATGTTGCTTATTGGCCCAGTTGTGAGCATGTTTGCTTTATTTATGTTGAAATTTGTATTTGACCTTCATCAGTATGTGCTTCAAGTCATTTTTTCTTATAGTAAGCAAGGTGTCTTAGCCTGGGTTCTCATGAGAAGCCAAGTCAATGACGCTTATATAAGTATGTAGAAAGAGAAATATACTTCAAGACAATGGCACACACGGTTGTAGAGGTGGGCAAGTCCATGTCCAGGCATGTTCCAAGTCCTTTGAGGGCTTCTTGTGACTCCGATAGCTGCAGGACTATGGAGTTAGACTGCCCAGCTTGTGGCTACAGAGGCAATGAACCCAAAGTCAATCAGTCAGATGACTGTCGATGCTGATGCTACGTTCTTGTTCACATAGCTTTCATAGCACACGATCTTTGAGTCTTTCAAGATTGCAACTTGAGGTTTGCATTTTTTCATCAGTTCTCTAAGCCTGAGGAATACCAAATGTATTCTCTTTGGCTTTCTAATTCCAGACCCATCCACAATTTATTATAAATGCTTTACTCTGTCTTCTTGAACCAGCCTTAGAAATGTTCGGTTCCACTTTTCATTTGCTTTAGCTACTCTAAGATCAAGAGAATGTTTCAGACTCTCTTGTGATATCTGTTTGGCTTTTCTTTACTGTTTTTAAAAAAAATGATATTTTGCATCCTATTTTCTTTTTTATTTTTTTTATTTTTTTTTGCATCCTATTTTCATGATGTCCTTGACATCATCCCATAACTCATCTGATCTTCAATCATTAGTGTTCAATGTGTCTAATGTAGTCTTGAGATGATCTTAAAATTCAGGTGTCAAGGTCGTATTTGGGCTCTCATGAACTTGGTTTCATTTTCTTCAGCTTCAACCTTAATTTGCATCTGACTAATTGATTGTCTGCTATTAAACTATGTCTCCTTCAAAGGATGTTATCAATTTGATTCCTGGGTATTTCAGCGTGGTCTAGGTCATTATTTCCCAAAGTGGGTGAGACTGCTCTTGGGGGAGGGTGGTGCAATGGGGGAGGAGGCGCTGGAAAGATGAAGGCGGGCTGAAAAAAGCAGACAGCTGCATTTTATCCTGATTTGATTGTGATCATGTGTTATATTATGAACGTTTTTAATTGCCAAGGGAATACTGAGTAATTTCTTTCCTGAAAATGGATCTTTGGGCCAGATAAATTGGGAACCTGGGTTCCATGTGTATGTTATTGAAAAAGGTCATTGCAATGAATAAATCGTTGGTCTCACAAAAACCCTATCATGTAATTTCTAGCGTGGTTTCTATCACCAAAGCCATATATTCTGAATGGGATTTTCTTTAAAAGGAACTATTGATCTGTTTTCTTTGTTCCAAATTTTGCATTCTAATCACAAGTAATCATCAGTGTATCCTGGCTGTATCAGTTAATCGATTTTAAACAGCAGAAAACGGCAAAAATATTTCATTTCTTTATCTTTATTGCTAGTGGTGGATGCATACATTTGGACTATATCTGCATTAACTGGTCTTACTTGTCAGTATATTAAAGTCTCTTATCTCTGACAACATTGTATTTCAACATAAAGCTTGAAATGTTTTTTTTAATTATGAATACCATACATCACTTCACTTTATCATTCCTAGCAGAGTAGACCGCATAATTGCCTTATTCAAAATGGCCACGAAAAAGCTGTGCCCAGTGGTGTAGTGGTTCCACGTTGGGCGGCTTAGCCACAAGGTCAGCAGGGTCAACAACACCACCTGCTACACAGGAGAAATAGAAAGTTCTCATGTAAAGAGTGCAGTTTGAGGCAGTTCTACTCTATCTGAAAGGTCCCTATGAGTTGGAATCAATTTGATGGCAGTGAGTGAGTGCCTAGTATGTTTATCTTCCCGTGTTCCATTTCATTTTCGACAACTTCTAATCTTCCAAGATTCATTCTTTGTGCATTCCAAGTTTCAAATATTAATTATTACTTGCAGCGACTTCTTCTATTGGGTCCTGCCCCATCCACAAATGAATTACCTGGAAGTTTTACTGCGTCTCTGTCATTAAGGTAAAGTCTATTTTGAGGAGGCTGTTCTTCCTCAGTTGTATATTTAGGGTCTTTCTTCCAACTGCAGGACTGTTCTTATGATAACTGAGCCATCAGACAACATTCAGCTATTATGCATCAGGTTTTCAGTGCACAGGTTTTTTTTAGTCATAGCTTGCTAGATCTTTCTTCCCAGTCTGCCTTGCAGCTCTAATCTCTTGAAACCTGTCCACCATGAGTGAGCCCTCTGATCTTTGAAAAACTGGTGGTCTCACTTCCACATCACAGTAACACGGAAGCCACCACAGTAGGACAAATGGACAGAATCATGAATTTGTTGAAACAACATTTTAAAATCTCATTTCTTTCTTTCTTTCTTTTTCTTTTTCTTTTTTACAGTTCTTAAAGGCAGTAAATGTCTAGCCCCCAAGTACGGTCAAGGCTTTTCTCGTTACATGCAGTTTTTTTTAAGCTTATGATCCACCGTATTTCCTTTTTTGTGTGTGTTTATTAAAGGAACAGGCAAAATGCACAAGAAAAAGAAAAGCGTATGTCAGCAAACCCGAGCACTTTTGTACAAAAATGTTCTTAAGAAATGGAGGATGAAAAGACTGAGCTTGTTGGTATGTTTGCAAGTTTGCATATTTCCACATTTGGCAATGCTCTTTTGTTTCATAACCTAATGATTCTTGTATGTTGCTTTTTAATGAGTAGACATAATTTATTAATTTGAGGTGGCCTCTAATTTGTTAAACTCATAGCAATCATAAAAGTTAATTTTGATTTGGAAGGATTTGCAGTATTACTCATGTTACAGAGGACAGCAAGAACACGTTCACTGTTCAGCGAATCTTCTCATGGTGATCGCTGCTACCACATGTGCCTGCAGAACCAAGAAACCCAACATTTTTTGGCTCGATGAATTGAGGGATTTTAATTTGGTCAGCTTCTGTATTAACAAGAGACACCCACAAAGATAAAATCTAAGAATCATGACCAGGTAACACCGCTGATTACATTGTTAGGTAGACCAACTACTGGGAGCAACCTGGAATCTCAGTGGCTTCACACAGCACAGGGTTTGTCTTGCACTCTTTCCTCACTGTCAATCAGGTGCTTGGTAGAAATGGAATGGCTATGGATGAGTGAAGGCATCATCTTCAATTAGTCATTCATCTAAGGCTGCTTCCATCTCCTCGGTCTTAGAGTGCACCACTGTATCCTCTGCATCCACTTATAAGGACAGAGAGAAACAAAGACAGAGTGTTGTAGAAGGTTGGACCTGGTCCCAAAAGCCAGGCTTGAAAGGGATGCACATCATATCTGCTCACATTGGGTTGGCCAGGATTCAATGCCATAGTCCCACTTCATTGGGGTGGAAGGGATGGGGAGGAGGCGGAAAATGTGGTCTAGCCTTGTGCTGGGGCTGAAGAGATCACGGACAGTCTCTAGACCGTCTCTACCACCCAATTCCGTTTTATTTTCTCGAGTTTACAATACAAGGGTATGACAACCAACAAAGGTATTGCTATTTGCTACTTTGAGCATTTCTCCTGATTCTAGAATCCAAAACATGAAAATGAAGCTCCCTGCTTTTGTCTCTAATCTGTGGCCCAAACACAGAAAACTTCCCCCTGGGCATCACCCTGTCAGTTTCCATGGTGGCTGTACAGTGGTCTAGAGTCTAATACAAATGTATTGGAGGCATGTGCCTATCACATCAGTGTCCATCTTTCATTGCATGCCTTGTGCTCGGAAGGTCTGAGAGCAAAGAGATAAGGACCAACTGTATGGTAATACAGGTCTTTATCACCTGCCTATTGCTCTTTGATGTCGATTGAGCTGTTGAAGGAAATGTCATCTAAATGTCCTCTTTTTCTACATATTTTAGGAATGGGGCCTCCCCGTACTTTTAGGACTGTATATGGGCCTATTGTCATATTTCAGAATGAATGACCATATTCCTGGAATGCCTCCTCAGGAGCTGGGAAGGGTAGATACATTTAACAGATCTTACGTAGAGGTGGTATACACACCAGTCTCCAATTGGACGAAGCAGATAATGGACAAAGTAGCATCTGCTCCTTTTTTGAAAGGTGAGTACACTGATGGCAAAAAGTGTACTGAGACTAGATGACTTGATAAGGTGCATGCATGTTATATTTGTAGTAATAAGTGGGGGACAACTCGATGATTAGATGCCAGTCCAAGTCCGGTGAGTTTCTGTTTGCTCGTTTGCTTTCCTCTCCCACATGTGGCCTGTCAAACCTTGCACTGTGATGGAAGTCCATTTGAGGGAGGCCCTCAATTCGACCAGAATATTCCTAGACAATTGATCCGTAATTTCAGATTTTCAGAACAGTGTCCTGGAGAAATACAGTCACTCACTGGTGGTGGTGGGTCCTATCCCTAGGGGGACACATGCTTATAATGTAGGCGTGGGGGGCATCTAAATAAAAGAGATTAGGGTAGGTCTATTGAATGATCACTTCAGAACTATGAAAATAAGAGCGGACAGTCTGAAGATTATTTTGCACATGATGTAACTTGTAAGCCTCTTCCTCCTAAATGAGGTCTTAAGTAACTGAGGGGAGCACAATGGCATGCCAGGTGTTGTCTGGCTCTCTAATCTTTGGTCCTCAAACTTGGTGGCCACAGTCACCTTGAGGCCTCAGTTCCAGTATAAGATGAAGGTCATGGGAGGGGCTCTTGCTTCAGTAAGTCTGAACCTGGCCCTGACTTGTAACTACAATTATCCCTGGATTTTTCCTTCTCCTGTTCTTTTATACACAATTATGCCCATGTGATTTTTAAAAAATGTAACTACCTGCCATTTATTCTAGGAAAACACACAATTCCTTTCCCCCGATTCTTGATTCTAAAACATCCTTGACGTAAAATTTCCTTGCTTGCCTTTCTGGAAAAGTCGGAGTTTCCAGGGAAAAATTGTTCTTAGTTCAATCTAATGGGAAGTATTTGATGATTCACTTGGATATTCCATTCTGTTTTGGTGCATTTCTATAATATCATTTTATATATAATTTTGCCTTATAATCCATAGGAAGAAGTGTTGTTGGGGCACAAGATGAAAATGCCTTGGATAAACTTATTTTGGACAATACCCCATACAGTATGGCAGTCATTTTTAACGATGCTTTCTCATACAAGTTAAAGCATTTTCAAGGTTATGGAATTCCATATATGAAAGAAGAACATTTATCAGGTGACTTTCCCTATAACATATTATTATCATTTTTTAATGATTGCAACAAAAGGTATGTGGGGACGGATGACAGAGATGCTTTCAATAGCACGTGAGTAAAAAGATAAATTGCATTTTATTGCCTAATTTATTCCTAGGTTAATCAGATCCTCCCACTAAGGGATGATCCTCAACAAAACCAACATGTGGATATTCAGCTCAACAGATACAAAGAGTAACACATACAAAAGCAATGAAAACAAGTCTTATAAGTTTAGGTCCATGGATTGTCATTGAGACACTTTAGTGCAGAACCATAATCAGAGCAGAGCTATAATTAGGTTTTCAAGGGTAAGGACTTTCTGGATCTAGCCCTGGGAATAGAGTGAAGGGTGGCCAGGGAGGATACATACAATAACACCTGCTAGTGAGGGTGACAAGACTTCGTCTGACATACTTTGGCCTATTGTCAGGAGAAACCGATCCCTGGAGAAAGCCATCCTGTATGGTCAAGTGGAGGTGGCGGTGGTGGGGTGATAAAGAGGAAAGCCCTTGATGAGATGGATCGACACTGTGGCTGCGACAATAGGCTCAGGCATAGGGACAATTGTGAGGATGGCTCAAGCAAGGCCAGTGCAGTGTTCTGTGGTGCATAGGGTCACTCTCAGTTGGAGCCAACACAATGGCACCTAACAACAACGACAAGTTAGCTGATGGCGGCAACTCCGTCCAGAAAATGGATGCTGAGGATAGAGGCAGAGGGCTTTGAAGACCTTTAGGAAGTGCAAAGGAGCCCTGGTAGTACAGTGGGTTACCCATTGAGCTGCTAATTGCAAGGTCAGCAGTTCTAACCCATGGACTACTCTTGAGAGAAAGATGAGGCTGTCTACACTGGTAAAATTTAGTCTCAGAAACCCCAAAGGGCAGCTTGACTCTGTTCTACAGGATCGATGAGTCAGAGTCAGCTGGATGGCCATGGGTTGGTTTCAGGAAGTAAAAGGTGCCCTGGTGGTGCTGTGGGTTAGGATCGGACTGCTAACCATGAGGTCACCTGTTCAAATCCACCTTGAGAGAAAGGTGAGGCTATCAGCTCCCATAAGGATTTGTCGTCTTGGAAATCCTACATCAGGTCTCTCTGAACCAGAATTGAGTTAATGCCAGTGTCCAGTGTGCCATATGGATTCAACACTTGGCTGCTAACCTAAAGGCTGGTTTTTCTAGCCCACCAGCCACTCCTTAGGAGAAAAATGTGACGTTTTCCTTCTGTAAAGATTGACAGTCTTGAAGAGTCATGAAGGGACTTAGACTCTGTCCTGTATTGTCATGAGTTGGAATCCACTCAATGGCAGTGAGTTTGGTTTGGTTGGGAAGCAGAATTAATGTTTCAGAACTGTTTTCTTTTCTATTCCTTCACTGAGGGTCTACTGTGTCCCTCACTATTTTCAGCCCCGGTACATCGAGTGAACAAAGCAAAGAGTCAGCGTCCATGGAACATTCCAGTCAGAGATGGGAGAAGGGTGGGGACACGATCCACAACAGAACACACATATAGGTACTCTGTCCCCAAAACCAGAGCCAAACTCACTGCCATCAAGTCATAGAATGTCATGGTGATGCCGATGCATAGCATCCCTACAGGACAGGGTAGAACTGCCTCTGTGAGTTTCCCTTTACGGGAGAACTCGAACTCTTTATGGGAGTGGAAAGCCCCATCTTTCTCCTGAGGAGCTGGCCGGTGATTTCAAACTGCTGACCTTCCTGCTCACAGCCCAATGTGTAACCATTCGGTAGAGATAAAAGCAACAACGTGAGGAGATTGACTGCTAAGAGGAGCCACTTTAGATATTTTCCTTGCTGACCACAAGTCTTCTCAGATGAGGTGAGTTTTGAGAAGACATGGAAATGCAGAGAGGGTGTGAGTCACGTAGCTGGATTTCTTCCACCAGTACGACTGCTCTCACGTGAATGTCAACCCATAGCAACTCTACAGGACAGAGCAGAACGGGCATTGTGGGTTTCCCAGGCTGTAACTCTTTATGGGAGTAGAGAGACTCGTCGTTCTCCATCGGAGTAGCCAGTGGTTTTGAACCACTGACACTGAGGTCAGCAGCCTGATGTGTAACTGCGACAACAACAGGGCATTTGCAGGGAGAGCATTCAAGAGCGAAATAGTTCTAGCGCTGGGACCTTTGTGGAGTGGAGTGCTCTGTGCTTTTCCATCTTCCTTTTCGATTTCCGAGCTGCGGTCTGCTTGAGGAAAACCCCGTTATTAATCCCGTCAATCAGCTCTCTTTTCCTGAGTGGTCGAAAGTGCCGACTGGTGGAGCTTTCTCTAGATTGTTTGCTCCTGGGTCCGACTTTCTGACCCTCCACGCTGCCCCGGCTCCAGAACGACGGCTGTGTTTTGTATTCGCAGCTCACTGCTGGATGGGATATGAAGGGCTTTGGTGTACCCAGACTGTCTACTGGCTGAATGGATTCATGACCTTACAAACGGCCATAAACGCTGCTATTATTGAAGTAAGTGTTTCATCAAGAAGGTCTCATGATTAACAGAAGCTCCCTCTGGAGGCCTCAAAAGATTTTGATGAAAGGTGACATGGACTCATAGGTCTTGGCATATTTATCTATAACGCACATACAAGCTTACGTTGTCGGCCCTACAAATCCCATTCCAGGCCACTCCAAAAAAGCAAGGGTTGGAAGAAAGTGAGTCACACACAGGCGATTGTTGTTTCCTAGTGTACATAAATAAATGTTAGGTGTACACTACACTTTTCATCTATTAGGAAAAGTTTGAAAAAGTATGTAACACAGACAGAACAGGACCACATGGCATTGGAAAAATGCCCCCAATAGACTTGCTGGAAGCAGGGGTGCCCTAAACCTTCAATTTGTAAAAACTGCAATATCTGTAGGATACAACGAAGTGGAGCACAATAAAATGAAACAGGCCTGCACAGAAAGGTGCCCTGATGGCCTTGTCGGTTAAAGATTGGGCTACTAACTACAAGGTGAGAAGTTCAAACCCACCAGTCACTCCCTCAAGAGAAAGAGGAGGCTTTCTGCTCCTATAAAGATTCACAGTCTCAGAAGCCCTGGAAAGCAGTTTCAAAGCAGAATCAATTTTGCAGCAGTGGGTGGTGGTAGGGACCTGTATAGAAATGTAGAAATTGGATTTATACAAAAGACCATCTTATCTATCTCAAGCTTTTAATTTTCATATAATGCTAGGCTCACAGGAAATCTCAAAATCAAAGTACAGAACAGTCCTATGGACTCTTTACCCAGTAACCTCCCCACGACACCAATGACTGTGCTTGACTGCAAATCTCAAAAGTGGACTACTATTCAAACCTACCCAATGATATCATGGAAGATCGGCAGATGACCCACTTCTGTAATGATTACAGTAAAAACAAAAAAACAACAAAGCAAATACAGCCCATGGAGTAGTTCTCTTGTGTAACGAATACCTGGAGTTGGCTTGAGTCTGAACAGACTCCACAGTAGCAGTTTGTTTTGGTTTAGTGTTATGCATACAATTAGTGTTGCTGTTGTTGTTAATTGCTGTTGAGAGCCACTGGGTAGGTTTGAACTGACAGCACTTTGGGTCAGTAGCCTGGTGCAAACTATTTGCAGCACGCAGAGACCTCATCCCCAATATTTTAAAAAACAAACTGAAACCCGTTGTGTCAATTGTGGCTCATAGTGATCCTGTAGGACAGAGGAGGACTGTCCCCAATCATTTATAAACCTGTAATCTTTAGGGATTACCGATTGCCCCTTCTTTCTCTCTGGGAATGGCTGGTGAGTTTGAACCACTGACCTCATGTTTGGCAGCGGAGCACTTTAACCAGCACAACACCAGGGCTCCTGGCATACTCTAGTAGTGTTACCACTGGGAAACTGACATTGGTGTGCTCCGTGCAGGTTCACATAGCACTTGGTTAGCTGGTACAAACCAAAGAGTTTATTCAGATTTTACCCATTTCTCTACATTGAATAATGACTGTATTGGTTTAAACCCTTCTTTAGATCACAACAAATCACTCTGTGATGGACCAGTTAATGTCGGTTACTGGTATCAATATGAAGGTGTTACCTTTTCTTTCTAAGAGCCTATTTCAAAACGAGACATTTATGCTCTGCTGCTTGATTTATTTCTCCCCGTTTATATACTTTGCGTCACTCAATGTCACAAAAGAAAGAAAAAGGCTTAAGGACTTGATGAAAACGATGGGACTGCGAGATTCCGCATTCTGGTGAGTGCCTCATCCACGTGGTGGCGGTGGGCGTGGTTCATTGCCATGAGTCAGCGCTGCCTCCTGCTTCCCGAGTGCACCAGTGAACCAATGGGGCTTCATCCTCTGACATCGTCGCCGTGATTGGGAGCCTTGAGTCTAGCATGGCAGCTATGATGTAGTTTGAGTGCCCTCCTTCCTACGGAGTGGGACCCCTGTGATACGTGGGTTACGTATTGAAAAGTCTGTGATTTGAGCCCACCAGCTGACTGGGAGAGAGATATAACAACAGTCTGCTCCCATCGAGATTGCAAGCCCTAAGGAGCAGTTCCACTCTGTCCTATCACATCACTATCAGTCAGGCTCAACTCCAAGCTACTACAGTGAGTGACTTTGCCTTCCTTCAGGGCTTAGCTTCTAGCCCTACACTGCACATTCTCCTTTTGTCATCAGTACGATTTTCATGGGCTAATCTTTGGAGTAGATCATCAGTGCTTCTGCCTAGTCTGTCTGAGTATGGAAACACCCCTGGGCACATGTTCACCCTGGGTGATCCTGCTGGTGTTTGAAATACTAGGGGCATGGCTTCCAATATCGCAGCAGCATGCCAGCCACCATTGCCATGATGTGTTAACTTGTGGGGGAGGGGAATTGATGTAGGACATATGAATAAACAATGAAATATGGGTAGAGTGAAAAATTAGTCTTGTTTCAGAACATCTTGATTTAAAGTTGATACACTTGCTACGTTTTCTTTTGTTTGGACTTCCAAACGTTAGTTTTGTTAAATTTTGGCAGCCAAATAGTGATTTGCTGAGCACCTTTTCTGTGCCATGACTGTGTTACACCAATTCTACTGTAAAATCACTGCCATCGAGTCAATTCTGACTCACAGCAACCTTATATAGAGTTTCTGAGACTGCAAACCTTTAGGGGAGCATACAGTCTCATTGTTCTCCCTTGGAGCGGCTGGTAGATTTGAACCATCAACCTTGTAGTTAGCAGCCCAACACTGAACCACAATGGGGCGCCTGCCAGTGCCATCCAAACCGAAACTAAACTCACTATTATCAGGTCAAGGAACCCTGGTGGTATAGTGGGTTATGAGTTGGGCTGCTAATTACAAGGTCAACAGTTTGGAGCTACCAGCTGCTTGTTGGAACAAAGATGAAGCTTTTTACTGTTGTAAAGATTTATAGTCTTGGAAACCCACAAGGGCAGTGCTACTCTGCCCTATAGGGTCTCTACAAGACAGTGTAACCAGGACACCTTAGTTCTGCAGTAGAAGTACAATTACGTAGTTTGAAAACAAAACAAGAATATGAGGTCAAAGAAATTACACGTGTACACATGTGTGTATGTATGCACTGGTATCATAATAACAACAAACAATTGAGGGACAGATACAAAGGCCTAGCCAAATAATAGAAACTTGACATGCAAACAGTGAACGCTCCAAACTTCCAAGTCTCCAAAGTAAGAAGTTTGTGATGCAATTAGTTTGCAAATCCCACTGTTTAGGAAAAAGGTGGGGTGCGGGTGGGGGTGAGGGAGAGGAAGAATAACCTGGATACTTTACCTCAAAAGAAATGCAATGTGTTCATTACTGAATCCCAAAGAAGAGTTCTCTGTGCACAAAATTTATCAAGAAAATGCTCTTCATAGATATGAAAGCAATGAGGAGCTATTTCACACCTGACTTGATGGCATTGAGTTTTGAAAGTCATGTGCCTCCCTGGAGGAGCATTTGGCTTTTCTAGAAGTATATTTTATCAGTAGAGAGATTTTTAATTTCTACAGACACGAGTTGTGAAATATCAAAAGAAGAAATGGTCTTGGAATAAGAAGTGGAATTTTGTAGGGAACTTGGGAAAGCACCAGGAATAAACCTTGGAACCTTCTAGATGTCGCTAGAAACCCTCCTTGCTAGAGGGATGAGCAGGGGGTATGCTTATCAATGAGACCTCCCCCCAGTCCAGGGCACCTCTGTACCCACCTGAGACCAGGGAGGATGGAGTCAGCTCTATAATAAAGTCAGAAAGGTATTGGGCTTTGAGTTGGATTTATCCTCTATAGATAAAAGATTCTTAGTACTTGTGAAAAATGTAATCCGCATTTTTTTATGTGTGCTAGCTGAGAGCACGGGGATGTCTATAGATTCCTTAAAATCTCCCGCTGCCCTTAGCCCGGGTTCTTTTTTCTACATAACCCTTCATCTGCAATTCTCCTCCCCTGAGGGGTTTTAAGTTCCTCAGTGAAGCAATTCCTTTCTGGACACCGGAAGTGGGCTCCGCAGAGTGTGTATGGTGTTTCCCAAAATGTGGATATTTTCAACACAACTGGAATCATTGGAATGATAGGAACTTTAAAAATTGGAGTCACATAAACAAACATTGAATTCAGCAGAAGCATGAGCTGCTGGGATTGACTGATGTCCTATTAGCTTGGTTGTTGATTTACCTGGTAACTTTAAATAACTGAAAACTTTAGGTATTGTTTCTCCTTCTAGGACCTCTGGGTATAAAGCAGTTACTCTTTGGGCGGCTAACCCCCTGGTCAGCAGTTTGAAACCACCAGCCACTCCTTGAGAGAAAGATGAGGCTTTCTGCTCCTTTAAAGATTTGCAGCCTTGGAAACCCCCATGGATTTCCAAGAGAATAGGACAGTTCTATTCTGTCCTCTAGGGGCGCTATGAGTCGGAATTGACTCGATGGTGTGCATGTGGAGTCTTTGAAGGAAAGTGAGCGACCTGCTCGATGCGATCTTGAATAGTCCAGTTATCATGGGCCACATAGGCCACCATAGTTTCTTGATTGATCAGCAACTGTTAAGTTCCCCTCCAGTTCAACAATTGGAATAGTTTTCAAATAATTCTTGTGCCTTTTCCTAAAAAATCATATACAAGAATGTTCTTAGTGGCATTGTGGTAGTAGAAAATAATATTAAAATCAAAATACCGTATATACTCGAGTATAGGTCAAGTTTTTCCAGCACATTTTTTAATGAAGTTTTGGTGGTAACATTAGGTGCCTCAGTGGATATTCGGGCCAGATTATACTCGAGTATATACGGTAATTTAAAATGGGGTAGGGGTAATCGAACTGTCAGCACATAAGAGAATATATTCATGAGAAATATTAATATTTTTGGGTATTACCCAGTATTGAACCACATAGTATCTCTATGGGATAAAGACTTGGTGGTTTGTTTCAGTAAATTTTACAGCTGAGAAAACTCTGCGGGGCAGCTCTTCCTTGTCATATGTGGGCTTTATGAGTCAGAATTGATTCAGGGGCACCCAATAAGAAGTGTATAATATTGCTAATGTTGGTTGATAAAAGTAAGTTGCAAAAGAATATGCCCAGCATTATTCTAAATATACCACACTTACGCTACAATAAAATGGCACAGAACTAATAACCCAAACTGTAGACCATATAGCCATGCCAATATCAGTTACATAGTTGGCTTGGGCATCCTTTCTGATTGGTTGATACCTGTGCTGTACCAGTGTTCAGGGTCTTCAGTATCACCTATGTGCACATCTAGTAAAGGAAGTAAAGATGTATGCGAACTACAAGCAGTGTGTTTCAGAAAGCAGTGTTCTTTCTTTTGGGGCAGAGAAAGGATCCCTGAGCTCAGAAAAAGGCTGGACAGGGCGACTCCACTACGTCCATCCTGGTTATGACTGTACCAGCTAGAAGGGCAATCACTGTATCATCCTCTACATATCACTGTATGTTTTCTTCGTGTGTTTTAACGATTTCCTAAAAGCTTAACATGATTTAACTTTTCGTCTCCCTTAGGTTTTCTTGGGCTTTGACCTATGCTGGCTTCATCTTCATTATTTCCATGTTAATTGCAATTGTGATCACAGCTACCAAAACAATTGTCATGACGGGCTTTGTGGTCATATTTACCCTCTTTTTCCTGTTTGGCTTGTCTCTGGTAAGTTCACCCGTTGACTGGCCCTTTACCTGCTTCTGGTCTCAGCTCTACTGAGCAAGTATGAATGGTCTCCATAGGGTCCCCTTTCTGAGAACTCCCTACAAACAAACTCTGCTTTATATCCAGGTCTGACTTGACAGAATGATCAATCAAGAAGGAAAAAAAACCCCACAAAGAATACCAAAAATTTTACATGTTTTATTTTCTTTCTAAAATATGCCAAGGTCATGATTGGTCATGTTGTGCAATTCATCTTCCTCTGCATGGGCCCCTGTCATGCATCCCTGTATCTCTTCACCCTGTAATATCCCACCTTGCAGTAACTTCACACTTCATTCTCCCTCCGTTCTCTGAAGAGGGCCTCTGTATTTTTCCCTTCCAGGATGTTTTCTGCCAAGTGTCTGTCCGTTATAAGTTCTTAGAACATCAGAAAACAAAAACTAAAAAAGACCAGGTAATCGTGAGTTGATTCTGACTTGTGGTGGCCTTCATAGGGTTTTTAAGGGCTGTGTTTTGTTTTTAAAAAGCTCATTGGCCCTTTCTTTTTAGGCACCTCTAAAGGCACCTCAGCCCTTTAAGTTAGCAGACAAGTACACTGTGTTTGGCCAGGTTGACTAGAGAAACAAATCCAGCAACACTCATCTATGTGTAAGAAAGAGCTTTATATTGAGAAATAATTATATATCAAGAAAACATCCTTGCTCAGTCCAACTCAAGTCCCTGAGTTTGATACTAGTCCACAAGTCATTCTTCAGACTCACACAGCCACACACAATGATGCAGAGCGCAGGAAGAGCAGAGGCTGGTGCATGCAGAGTCTTGTGGATCCACAGTTGGTGGCAACTTGGCAGGGCTGCGGCAGCTCTCAGGGTGGCCAGCAAGCAGGAGAGTGAAGACGGAGAGGTTTCCCAGGCCCTCCTTAGCAGAGAACCACCCCAACAAGGAGGCATCATCAGGCTGTGACCTGATTGACAGGTTGGATACCACCCCCTACACTTTGATCTTCAAGTTGACATACAATTGCATAACTCTCACATACATAGACCATTCCACACCACTCAGGAATTCCGAGGCCATTCCTTGAGCTTTTTTCAACTTCTCATGTCTACATTTCTACCCTTTCCCCAGCCCTTCCTCCAACTTCTTTCTACCCTCTTCTCAGGAATAAAAGTCCAGAGTCTGGGCAAACAGGCATATCGATGTGAACTAGGAGGTCAGAATGGGGACCCAAAGCTCATCTGTAGACAATTGGACTTCCCCTCACAGAAGGGTCACAAGGAAGGGATGAGTCAGCCAAGTTGGTTTTAGTACCAACAAAACACAATAGTTTTTTAATGCTAGTTTTTTTATGTCCGCGCACCCCCCTCCCCATTACCATGACCTTACAGCAGATCTGGCTAGACTGGAGCACATACATTAGCACAGATAAGAGCTCTCGACACATGGAATCCAGGACAGATAACCCCCTCAGGAACAGTAATGGGGGTAGTGATACTGGGAGGGTAGGGAGAAGGTGGGGGAAGAACAGGAAGAAAGGGGGAACGGAACGCAATGATCGACGTATAACCGGCCATCCCCTCCCAAGGGGATGAACAACAGAAACGTGGTGAGGGGAGAAAGCGGATGGTGTAAGATATGAAAATAACAATAATTTATAATTTATCAAGGGTTCACAAGAGTGGGAAGAGGAGTGGAGAGGAGCTGATACCAAGGGCTCAAGTAGAAAGAAAATGCTTTGAAAATGATGATGGCAACATATGCACAAATGTGATTGATAAAATTGCTAAATGGATTGTTATACGAGCTGTAAGAGCCCTCAATAAAATGATTTTTCAAAAGAGAGAGATAAGGAGCTCTGGTGAGGTAATGGTTTCATGGTGCACTGCTAACTGCAGGGTCAGCAGTTCGAGCCCACCAGCTGCTCTGTGGAAGAATGAGACTCTCTGCTCCTATAAAGGTTCACAGCCTTGGAGACTTAAAGGGGCAGCTCTCCTCTGGCCACAGCGGAATTCTATGAGCGGAATCCTCAATAGCAATGGGAGGGTTGAAAAGGAAGTTGAGGGAAGGATGGAGACGAATCGTGTCAATACTTTCATCATTGTTTCAATGTTAGGATTTCATATTAGGATATAAAGGCCCTTATTGTATAGTGTTAACAATGACTCTCTGTGAACAAGTAGATGATCGCTAACTCTCTCCTCCCTCTTTCAGATAACATTAGTGTTCCTGACAAGTGTGCTGCTAAAGAAAAGCTCCCTCACCAGCTTGGCTGTGTTGCTCCTTACTCTCTTCTGGGGGTGTGTAGGATTCACTGTATTGCACAAACAAATTCCTGCATCTCTGGTGTGGATTTTGAGCATTTTTAGCCCCTTTGCCTTCACTGCGGGGATGGCTCAGGTAAGAACGTAGTTAACTGGTTCATTATTGAACTTTGAAAAATGCTATGTTTCATGACTCTCGATAATCAACGTACTTTTCAAAATCTTAACTTTGGTTCTAAGCAATTCTTCTACTATAAAGTTGTTTTTTTTAAGGCTTAGAAAAGCTTTTCTATTGTGGATTAAGTGGGGAAGGTTTACTGAGCAGATACAATGATTTATTCACATTTCCTTTCCTGTCATTGATTGCAAGCCACACAAACATCACTTACCTGATGTCCTTCCTGTGTTTACCATTTCCATTCTTCTCTTGTTCCTAATGCTTCTGTTCTTTGTCCTTGGACACGTGCTGCATTCCAGAGGGTTTACAAGGCTGTGGCCTTTCTAAAGTAGAGCATCCAGCTTACTTGCCGAGATGTTTGCTGGGTGCATTTGAACTACTGACTTTTCAAATAGTCATCCATTGGTAAGTTGTCAAGGATTTTGCCTCCCTTGGATCCACAATCAATACGCATGGAGGCAGCAGTTAAGAAATCAACGGACATATTTAACTGGGCAAATCTGCTGCACAAGACCTCTTTGAAGAGTTGAAGAGCAAACAGATCTTAGAAGAAATGTAGTCAGAATTCTCCTTAGAAGCAAGAATGGTGAGATTCTGCCTCACATAATTTGAATATTGTGTTAGACAGGGTTCTCTAGAGAAACAAAACCTGAATGCTAATACTTTTATATATATTTGTACAGATAGATAATATAAGAAATAAACAATTAATTAAATTATAAAGCAGCACACATGGCTCAGTGCAACTCACCCCCGTGAGACAGTTGTGAGACACTGGTAGTCCTTCAAGTCTTGAGGGCTGTCAGGTAGTCCTCTGTAGAGCAATTCAGGCTATCCAGGCACAGGCAGCGAACAGCAAGGCAGGTCACTGACAGTCCCCAGCTCAAGAGATGTAAATTCCAATGGTGTGGCGAAGCAGGTCTTGAAGGAACCTCAGATTCCAGCGACACAGTCCACGGGTTAGGTGTCCCACAGGTACTGTAGCTCGCAAATTGAAGCATAGAACAAGTAAGGCAGCTGCACACTGGTCCGATGATCAAAGAGCAAGAGACAAGACAGAAGAGGCTCACCGAGTCATTTATCTCTCCGCCCTTCAATGAATCCCACGTATGTTTATCGGCCAGGTTGGCACAATAAACTAACTACCTCAAACATGTTAGCAGGAGAGAGCAGTCCCTGGAGAAGGGCATTATCCTTGGTAAAGTAGACAGTTATTGAAAAAGAGGAAGACCCTCAAGGAGAGATGGATGTAAGTGGCAGTGGGCTCCAATAGTGCCACGCTGAGTCAGAAACAACTCAGGGGCACGTAACAACAAAAGTACTGTGTTGAGTGAGAGCTTTGACTTGGGAATTGAAATTCTTATATTCAGATTCCAGCTTTGCCACTGCTAGCAATGCAAATCTGATGTTGGCAGGTTAAGCTACTGAAATTCTTTGTTTCTCGGTTATTATCATATGTGAAAGGAAGATGCAAATAACAATCCATACCCTATAGACTTATGAGGCAGGTTAAGTGAGACAATATAAAAAGTTCTCAGAATAGTTCTAGAACATAACTCCACGTTAAGTGTAACTCACTGCCATCAAGTCGATTTCCAGCTTACTGTGACCCTATGACAAAGCATTACTGTTCCCTAGGACCCCCGGCATCATAGTGGTTATGAGTTGGGATGTGATCTGAAAGGTCAGCAGTTGGGAGGAAGCTGGGGCTTTCTACACCTGTAAACAATTGCTACCATCTCGGAAATTCATGTGGCAGTTCTACTCTGTCCTATAGGGTGGCCATGATTCCACATGGTCTCCATAGCAGTGGGCTCAGGTAAGGGTTTCTGAAGCTGTAAAAGTTTATGGACTCAGCATCTTCCCGACATGATTGCTGAAGACAAAGTGGGTGCATAAGCAAATGTGGTGAAGAAAGCCAATGGTGCCCGGCTATCAAAAGATATAGCACCTGGTGTCTTAAAGGCTTGAAGGTAAACAAGCGGCCATCTAGCTGAGAAGCAACAAAGTCCACATGGAAGAAGCACA